TGATCTCAAAGAGACCTAATCATAATACCTTTCAAATTCGTTTATTATCATGATTGCAATTACTGTTATTGATTATCTTTATTGCAAATAATGATTATTGGTTATCTTTATGACAAACATTGTTTTACTGATTATCATTCGGATTTATTTCGTTAATTATCATTAATTAATTTTATTGATTAAATCGTTATTAATTCCTTATTACGAATTTTTTTTGAAGGGTTTACGGGAAATTTAGTTTTTTCCTGTTTGATTAGGTGTCTACAGTCCATCAGTGGGACAGGGGATTGTATGTATATTGCTTGATTGTTCTACCCCTGTTCCCACTCTACCTACCCCCCCTGTAGTCTGTGAACACCGGCACCTCTCAAGTACCGCATCAGTTCAGACTGATGTCGATGGAACAGGACACCGGGGCACTGCCACGGCGCAGTGCCAGGATCGCAGTTCGTGCCCGCCCTGCGGTACCTCCAAGACCCAAGAGATTCAGCAGACGGACGACTCCAGCGGCATCAAGTACGACATTGACAGTACARGACACCACTGGAGATCTTCCCGCATGCCCGGTCCGAGAGGCCAGCGAGCCTTTGGCTGACTATCGTGGGCGGCTACAGGCATTTACAGACGCCGTAGCCCCCGCCGAGGCTCAGCAGGCTGCGGCAGAGGCAGAACGTCAGCGGCTGGCCAATGAGGCGGCAGCCGAAGCTCAGCGGACAGCTGAGACTGACGAAGCGGCACGAAACAGACGGAATGCCACCAGCACGGAGTCCCTGATTGCTAGTGAGCATCAGTGGACAACGGTACTCCAAGGCATGATCTTTGTGCCTACGGAAACGCAGGCGGAACCGACACAGGCGGAGGCAGAGAGAAGTAACCTGGCTACCGTGATGTTGAACGTAATGAGGGGAGTAATGTGGAACAACAAACTACTGCAGGCACACCTGCATGCGGAACGACGGCAAAGACAGCAGTACCAGCAAGACCTGGCCGCTGTAACGGCCGACGTCCACGACGCAGCAATGCAGCAGCAGCAACAGCAACAGCTGATGAACTCTACCATCTCACGCATCAACGGCATTGAGGCCAAGGCCTCAGCAGCGCCAGGCTGYACGACGGACGCGACGAAGCAAATCAACGAACGCATCGATCACGTCATCACCATCATCGGCGACATAGGTGTTTTCAACGCACCGGACACGATCAGCAGCACGGTGGCCGCCATCAAGACGGACATCACCAAGCTACAGACGAGACCGGACGCCGCTACAAAGACGTTCAAGATGCCGCACTTCGACATCTGCAAGTTCGACGACTACAACAAGTCGGACGCTGTGACATGGTGGCAACGTTTCCTCACGGAAGCGTCATGCCGCACTGTCCCGGCAAACGACATGTTGAAGGCACTCTATTTGCAACTGATTGGAGGAGCGCAGGCATGGATGAACCACCTGGCGGCCACCCACAAGTGCACCATCGCCGAACTCCACACGCACATCATGTGGAAGGAGTTCGAGCAGCTATGGTTCACCCGGTTCATGGTCCGCAACGTCGTGAAGGCGGCCATGAATGAGGTGTATACATGCTCTCAGGGGAACATGCCAACTCGAGACTGGACAACGAAGTGGCAAAAGATAGTGACCACACCAGGCTTCGACTTGACGTTCCCAAATCAACGATCCGAGTTCTTCTCGCGATCATGCGCGGGATTGCGGTCGGCACTCGGTAATGAGTACGACTATACCACATTCGAGGGCATTCTGGATCGAGCGAACTTGGTCATCCAAACGGACGACAAGGCCGCTAACGAGAGACAATCCCAGCCGCACTATGTGGCTAAGCAGGCCTATCAACGTCCGGCACATAACAATGCCGTGATTTCTGAGGAAACCGACAACCACCACGCTGCAGCAGCATCCTCGAGTGATGGAGGAATTGTCGCAGCGCTCCCGCCGAAGCGTCCCAAGAGAGTTCGAAAGAACAAGGCGACACAAGAGACGGCAGCGACGGGAGCTGGGCAGCCATGGACGGCATATAAGATCACCAAGGAGGTCTATGACCTGCGTCATAAGTACGGATACTGCCTTTGGTGCAACGGAGTCACTCATGTGACCGCACAATGCCCCGAAAAGGGCAAGGCACGCGTACCCCGTCCAGCAAACTCGGGAAACTGAGTTACGCAAGGAGAGGGGCGACGTCTCTCCTCACTCCGCCGGACCCGGTTGCCTTGCTAGCAATCGATGTCACTACCGGGGAGMATGCGTTAGTCGCTGATTCTCGTGCTACGTACGAGGATTATGCCGCCCAGCTGGTACCACCATTAGACCAGCCTAGCCACGTGCATGAAGATTGCGTATGCGCAGCCTGTACACCTTCGGCAAGTGATCCGGTCAGTTCGCCACTATTTTCCGAGGACTCGACGGCGTGGTCAAGACTTGAGGAGCTTGACCTGCTCACGAGAGGGGATTTCGCTTGGATATCTCTACCCTCGACCGGAACATTGCCAAGGCCGCATTGCAACGCCTTGATGGCAAATCTACGCTTCTACTTGCACACTACAGTACCAGCTCCGTTGACGGACGACAGGGTAGCGGTTGCCGATCTCCGCTCCTATCTTGCGAAGATCGACCGCGAGCACGCCACCCAAAGGTACGCCGAAACCTACGCACCTTTGCTCTATATCCGCATTCAAATCGGAAAGGCAACCTGTAATGCCTTGATTGATTGCGGAGCGTCTCGCAACTTACACATGATCCAAGACTTTATGGTACGCGCTGGCCTTGGGGCACGCGTTTAGAGGAAGTCGCAGCCTACACAAGTCACGTTGGCCGACGGTCAAACGCACAAGTCAATCGTCCGATGCATTGATTCCGTCCCCGTGTACTTCGCCCCGCATGCAAGCGAGGCTGTGTCCTTCGACATTTTGGACACTCAATGCGACATGATCTTCGGCATGTCATGGCTGCGAAGCGAGGATCACCCGGTGAACTTCTACCGCCGCACCGTTCACGTTCGTGATCGGAACGGAATACTAGTCCCATGCACGGTGCCTCCTCCTCACCCTTCGATCAGCTGCCACGTGGTGTCCGCCGCAAGCATTCGAGCTTCCATTATCAAGGATGACATCGAGGAGATGGGGGTGTGTTTTTTCCACGCCCTCCCGCTCCATGACATTCCATCGATGGACTCATCACCGAACCCACGCATCACTGAGCTTCTCGACGCCTACGACGACGTGTTCGAAGCCCCGCACAGAGTAGTACCGGATCGACCGATCCGCCACGAGATCATCCTCGATGCCGGGGCCGTACCTCCGCGTGGTTGTATCTACCGCATGAGCGAGGAAGAGTTAGGTGTGCTACAGGCACAACTCGACGACCTTCTCGAGAAAGGCTGGATTCGGTCTAGCTCTTCGCCATACGATGCTCCCATTCTCTTCGTTCGGAAGAAGAACAAGGATTTGCGGTTGTGCATCGATTATCACAAGCTCAACGTGCAAATCGTTGTCGAGCGCATCGGTCCCGCAGGGGGACCCTCCCGACCGCGTCCTGCAGGATTTGGCAGGACTTGTCGCGGAGAGCATTTTGTCGCTCCGGCCGAGTGCGCCAGCCGTACCTCTCGCGAGTCCCTACGACAGGACAGGGTCACGCGAGGCACCGCTTTTACCTCCACCCGCGGGAGTTGTCACCATCCCTTGGGTGGGCGTATCCCCGCCGAGCTACCAGACCACGTGCGAAAGCTTTTAGTGTGCAATCGCAGAGGTGGCCCAACCGAGGGCGTTTCTCGTTCGCTGTAGCATAGGGGGTACGCGCGGTCAACGCCCGAATCGAACCCGCACGCGAATCATCGCCCGAGGCGCTGATCTCTCGAGCGCGATCCTACGTCGGTCGACTAGGACGGCTATTCTAACCACGTGACGATACCAGATGAAACGAAACCAAGTCTCACTCGTAGATCACGCCTAGCCCCTTGTTCTCACCCAACCCATAACTTTTGATGACGGATTAGATGAGTGTCGCGCGTGAGGCTCAAAATAAATATCGCGGTGGCATGGGCTCTATCCTATCGACTCGCAATGCATGTTTACTCAAGCAGTCGTAATGATGGAGTTCTATATGGTACCCAAACTCAGGTGGCCCTCAGAAGTTTTGAGGGTTACCTTCGACACTCAAGTGTCGACTGACATACGTCTCGAGGGGTTATCCTCTTGACGCTAGACAATCGCAAGTGTTGTTGCAAGACCGACCCTCTTCTGCACTCTGTGGAGAGGGGTTGAGTAGACAGCCTCAGGGCTGTTGTGATAGCCAAAATCTTGGCTCTCTTGGCAGGTTCCAACATCGGAGGTATGTAGAGAGGTCAAGGGGTTTGACTTTGACAACTGCCATGGACTCCAACGTCCAACTATGAAAACTCAACAAGGAAGCGAACGCAGATAGAAAAAGAGGCTCACCCCTTTTTTCTCTCTGCCTATCCCATATTCCAATTTGTATAGCTTGATAGGCATATCAAATGGAAGGGGGCAGGTCAGTACGAAGGGTGCGTGCGGATAATGCCCAAATCAGACCCATGTGCGAACCGACGTTCGAAACGTTGGAATCTCGAATGCGGATTCCCATAGGCCGACTAGGACTAGTACTCCGTCCGCACGACATTTCGCACTACCAAAACTCGGGTCAACTTACCGCAGCATGCTTTTGTCCCTTCTGCTTGACCCATAACTGTTCCTGCGCAAGCCCTAAGCGGAGTCCGCGCTCCGGATCGTATAAGACGGTCGTGCGCGCAGGGCCTACACATATCGGCTAGCAATGCAATCCTACGTAAGCGGTCGTGATGACGGCGCATTATGTGGTGCCCATAATTGAGTGGCCCTATCTGAGCCATGGGGTCGCTATCGACGCTCGGGCGTCGGCTGAAGCGCGCGCTAAGGGGGGTAAACCTTTAGTGAGTGCAAAAGCGGCCTGAGGGCCTTACCATCTTCTGCACCCTGAGATGTCCTAAAGGGTGCGGGGTAAGATGGTCCCTAGGGCAGGAAGGAATTCCGAGCGGCGAGTCTTCGCGAACACTTGTCATAGCGATGCTTCATGCGCTACCCGTACCCGTCTGATTCCCTATGGGGATCAGTGGTGCGGAAGACACTCAAGTGTTTGAGATGAGGTATCGTGAAGGAAGCCTCCTTCGCGATATCGAGTTGTTGAAAAACAACCCCTCAACCCTCACGACGCTTCTGTCTCCCAAGAAGAGCGTCGTGGTGGGCAATACAAGTTAGGCTCTGTGCGAGGGGTGATCCCTTCCGCACTGAGCCTAGGACTTGGGATGTCCTAGACAAGGGCCTCGAATTCCAGGTTCAGGACTAACGTCCGACCAACTAAACCAACGAGAAATAGGACAACGTAAGCATGTGGTCGCATAACCCCATGAGGATTATCCGAGCGTATGCGTACTTTAACTATCACAATATCAGAACGAGAAAGGAGGCAATCTCAATCAAACAAAGAGTTGTGTGGTAGTTCACTCTCACGACAGTTGTGTGGTTTGCCCATCTGAATCCAAAACATAACCATTCACCAAGACTCAATCGAGATTTCTCCATACATACCTGCGATCACACACAGAGTTCAAACGGCATTGCACACACTAAAAGGGTCAACTTTTCAGCCTTCTGCAGCTCACACCCTGCCTTATGCACACAAGCCCAACCTTTTCCCCACCGTTCCTCAACAAAAATACTCAGTCCTTAAGAAATGGCCATTTATAAAGAATCTGGGGGAAAGCCCAAGAAAGCATAAAACCCAGCAAGGGCCAAGGCCTTAGGTTGAGAGGCAGAAGGAGCAGGAGAGTTGAGTCGTAAACCGACGAGTCGGCAACCGACCTGTTATCTGTGATAACAGAAAAGTGATCCTTCGAAGGATCAGGCCGAACGAATCAAACCTTCAAGCGAAATATGGAAACCTGCATCACAGTACAGGCCAAAAAGAACCACTACTATATTCATGCCAAAAGGAGAATACTTCCCAATTCGTAACCTAGCTCCTCTACTAATCTTATTATTAGCTCCCCGTACTAATACCAAGTCACTGAGCACCTCCCCTATTCAGGGTGGATTTGCCAAGTATCTCCTAACTAGAAATATTCTAACTCCTCAAATTCTACGAAATTTCGACAGCGCTTCCCGTAGGAAAAATGCTTTCGCAGAATTCCTATGAGTCCATAAATGACTAACTCTTTCAGATTTGTAGAAATTTCGGCAGCGCTTCCCGTAGGAGCAGGAGGCTGCCAAGATTTATACAGAGCTGAAAGCAGAAGGACAAAGCAAAGTCATACTTGAGACTAACTTCTGACACTTGCTTGATAATTAGGATTGAAGATAGTTTACACGATCCCCTTTCAGAAGATGGTATCGTGAGCTATCGTCAACTCTAACTTCAAGTAAGGTCAGTCCTATCTTTATCCCAAGCTCTCCCTCCCATCATGCATCTCATCTACCTATGGCTCCAGCACTTGGCGAGCATCTAAGCAGCTAACCTATCGAAAAAGACGCCCCAGAGTGAGAGCCCATAAGCATACATAAACAAACATCTCTCACAACCCCACATCAGTTTGGCCCAAATAGTTTGTTACATCTCTCAGTTCCTTTCCCTTTTAAGTCCGCCTTTCCTATGGCATATGGTCAGACTCACCTTAATTAAAGGGTATGCTTGACCTGCCTAAATAACAGATAAGGTACGCACATCTGGACTGCCCTAACCCTAGGGTGTGCCCAACATAACATGAACTGTATACGTAAAGCATATGACCAAACCGCCCTAACCCTAGGGTACGTCTGGCTTCTGCCTAACTGACAAAGGCTTACTGCTAGGCCGCCCTAACCTACGAAACACCCGGACGCGTCCGCGGGGTCGAGCTCGGATGGCGGACCCAAATGGGTTCGCATCCGTGGTCTACCTCGTCCGCACCGCGGATGCGATTTTACACGAATTTTCCTGAATTAGATAATAGGTAAAAAAAAAAAAAAAAAAATGGGGTTGTAGGCAATTTCAAGCCCTACAACCCCATTTTTTTTTTTGAAATCCGACTTTGTTTAGGATTTTTAAAAAATCAAAAACGAAATTGGATTTAAAGAAAATTAAAAAATATATATAAAGAA